TACTCAAACTACCCTTTCAGGGGATGTGCAGCTCCCTTGAGGGTAGCCACCCTCTGTATTCTTTCTAAAGCCTGGTCTAGAAAGCGTATTTAGTAAAGAATCGTTGATGGCGACTAAGTGCTACGGTTTGAATGTGTTCCACAAAACGCATGTGCCAGACAGTTAAGCCCCAATGCAACCATGTGAAGAGATGGAACATGTCAGAGGCGATTAAGATGGGGCCCTCATGACCTAATGGATTAATGCCATGATCTTGGGAATGGGTTTGTTCTAAAAGCAATTTCTTCCCTATTTCTTATCTTGCCCTCTCTCACCCTCACACCTTCCATCTTGGACTGCCATGGCAAAAGGCCTTGGTCAGACCCTGGCACTTTGATCTTGGACCTCTAGCCTCCAGAGAATGTATCTCTGTGGTTTAAGCCACACAGCCTGTGGTACTATGCCATGGCAGTCTTGGAAAACGAATGCGTTCTTGATTTGGTTTTGTGGAATGCTGTCTCTTTGGCTACTATGTGGGGCATGGCCTGAGGAGACAAACCACTAGGCAGGAGGGCAGACTTCCAGGAAGGAGGGCAAAGCAAAGCGGGGAGGACTAGGAAGGTTTGAGCCTGAGGGCAGAGGAGCAGATATCTCTTTGTAGATCAGGCTTGGGGCAGGAGGAAAAGAAAGGTATAAAAGGTGACCCTAAACTGGGTGCTGGTGGCACATGCCTGTGGTCCTCGCTACTGAGGAGGCTGAGATCTGAGGATCACAGTTTGAAGCCAGCCTGGGCAAAAATATCCATGAGACTCTTATTCCCAATAAACTACTACTCAAAGAAAGCTGGAAGTGGTGCCGTGGCTCAAGTGGTAGAGCACTAGCCTTGAGTAAAGGAGCTCAGGGACCCAGAGTTCAAGTCCCAGGCCTGACGCATACATGCGCACGCGCGCGCGCACACACACACACACACACACACACACACACACACACACACACACACACACACACACACACACACACGACCCTACTTCTCTCTTTGATCAACTCGAAGTACAGAACTGCCTTTAGTGAAGATGGCACTTTTCCTCCCTTACAGTGAAGTTCTTTAAGAATCTTTCTAAAATTCCTTCTGTGTCAACAAGGTCCAGGTCTATATCTCACTAGGAGAACACAGAGAACTTCTTAACAGCGGAAAGAAAACCAATGGCTGATTAGAGTTTAGTCTGAGTTCCAAGGTAGATGCCATCTAGAGCATGGAGTTTACTGCAGGTCTTAAAATTAAAAAAGAAAATTGAAACCATAAGCTATCACCTTCCAAAAAGATGTAAATTATCAGTGGAGAGCCGAGAACATGGTCTAATTCTAAGGAACTGGAATAAACAAAAGCTCAAACAAGAATTGGCTCATTCTTATTTGTAATGCACCTTTTAGGGCCACAAAGACAGCTTTTTCTTTGCTGTATAATTTTGCTTAATGTCATTGTTATTTATCGGACATTTGAAATGTGCCACATAATGACCCAATTGATTTGGATTGATGAAATCATTTGATGCTCACAAAATAACACTAATGAGGTTGTTGCTATTATTATTATCCTTGTTTTCCAGATGAGGAATGAAAGGCCACATGAGGTTATGCAGCATGCTTTGGGCCACAGTGCTAATCAGCAGTGAGTCTGAGCTCCATCCAAATCTTGGTGTTAAAAGTCTGGAACTCACGCATTTGGTCATGAGGTGGGATAAATACAGACCCTTCTTGAGACTTTGGATAAATACAAACCCTTTTAAGTTTGCTTCAACTGACCTAGTTCTAGTCTAGGACTAGCTCTAGTTCTAGGACAAGGGAGTATGGGGCCAGCAGACAGCAGGCGTTAGGAGGAAGTCAAGGAGGCAGGCTCCTCTCAGCAGATCAGATAGAATTAGCAAGGATTAGACATGAGGTAGGAGAGAAAGAAAGGTCTCAGAAGTGACTCAAACTCTCTCAAAGTTTCTGCATGAGCATCTAGAAGTATGAACCTGCTTTAATCAAGGAAGGGCATTTTCTTAAAGTGAAGTCTTTTGAGAATCTAAAAGCCAAAGCTCTTGGTATTTATTATTTTTTTTTAATGCTACTAAGCAGCCTCGGATGGAAGACAATTAAAAACTTCTTCATACAGATCAGAATAGATTCATACAATCTCTGAGAAACAGGAGAAAAGATTGTGAGAAGCCTTTAGGTTTTAGGACTTGGTAGCTCCTTTCAAAGGTCTGAAAACCTTTCATAGAAAAAGATGATTAGAAATAAGATGTGGGAGATAAAAGTTACAATTGAATAAAAGTCTTTTAGTTTAATATAAGAAAGGGCATAATAAAAATCAGGCCTTCTCCATAGTAAAGTAGACCCAGTAAGGCTCTCATTCAGAGACTAGAGGAAAAATGATCGGGAATGCTGTCTCAGGCAGGAAATTGGCTTCCTACATAGCCTTCAAGGTCCCTTTCAGTGGTAAGCTAAAGATACCTGGACGGCCCAGAAGCTAGTGTAATTAGAATGGTGCCTAGCTCAATATTTGATTTTCAGATTATCTGCAATGTTTCTATCAGGATCAGACTTCTGGTTGGTACTGATGCTCTGCAGATGGCATGCTATGAGATCTTCGGGGCAGTGACAACACAAATGTGGGAAGCCCCAAGGATCCTTGGTAGAATACCTGAGTGTTCAATGACCTTTCCCCCTGCAGTGTTTTGGGATCATTGGACATTGTCAGGAGGATAGAGAAACCATTCTTTCTGAATAAAACTTGGCTAGATCAAGGAAAAAATCATATTGACAGGCAGTTGGAAGGATTTTATTTGGGGGGGTGGTAATGATAAGGGTGACATCACCTGAGATACTGACACATTCCTTCATTTGTAGGGAAGTAGACAGACAGTGGCTTTATCCTTCCCTAGGACTCTGCTAGGACTATGTGGATAACATGGGTAGTCAGAAAAATCTCTCCAATCTTTCTGGGAAGACAGTTCTCTTCTTCTAGGTATGTAATCTTGTTAGTGATATGTGAATGAATCCCCTCAGTCCTGGCTAGTTTAGTAGGAGAACTCTACCCCTTGACTTAGGTAGAAGTTGAGGGAGACAGAAAGAGGAAACAAGCAGTTAGTGTGGCACAAAGTATGGTGACATCCTTAGCTCAGCTGCCAACCTTAGCTGTACCCTCTCTCCTATCTCCCAATATTCCCCTTCCAGTCTATTCCCTTGGATTCATTTCAATAAAGAGTTTAATTCAGTATAAGCCCAGTAGACTCCTTATTGGTCTAAACGCCACTGAAATATTCCTCACAAATACCCATGGATACCATGAAATGGTCTATTTTTTTAATTTTTGTTGGTCATGGGGCTTGAACTCAGGGCCTGAGTGCTATCCCTAGGCTTTTTTGCTCAAGGCTAGTGCTCTACCACTTTGAGCCACAGTACCATTTCCAATTTTCTGTTGGTTAATTGGAGATAAGAGTCCCCTGGACTTTCCTGCATGGGCTGGCTTTGAACCCTGATTCTAGATCTCAGCCTCCCGAGTAGCTCGGTGTGAGCCACTGGCACCTGGCTGAAATGGTCTATTTTATATGGAAACATATTCGCAAGATCCTACTAATAATGTTGTCACAAGTGTCTGTTTCAGATGATGAAGGCTCACAGGCAACATAAAATTTTACTTGGTGGAGAATCACAGTGACTTAAGTTGTCATCAAGAATCAGCTGTGCTGTAGTACAGGATTATGGACTTGTAAGATGGCAAGATCCAGGCTAGAAGGCTTGGCACCTCTACGTACTGCCTATAGCAATGCTTTTCAAATGGCTGCTCTGAAACAACAGTTCTAATTGTGTATTTCTTTTCATTCTGAATCCATTGAAAACTTGTGCTTTTGTGAAATACGAGTGTTAAAAATAATGAAAGCCTTTTTAGTCACAAGACTCAACAGACATAAAATTATCCTGTCTAACACTCTAAAAGTATCTGGAAGTATGCTCTCAACTTCTGCACTCATGGGTGCTGACAGGTGACAGGTGCTCTGTGCAGCATCCTTTGAGGGAGCAGCGTTGAGGGACTTACTCAACCTCTCCTGCTTTCTCCATGAGGATTAAATACGATGATGCTCCTGCTGCGGATGTGCGGATGCAGGCACAGATAAAAAGTTTTCTCCCAAACTTTAAGTTCTTAATGTTCTCACTAATAATAACTAGAGTTGAAAACAATAGCAAAGGGCCAAAGTAAGTTTTGTTTTTGCTTTGGATGACATAACATGATAAAATCAGAATACCTAAGAGGCAACAACTTCTCTCTGAGTTAAGTCTTTTCCCAAACGCACATACTTTGACCAAGAGGCTGGAAACCAAAGCTTAGATCTCTCTCCTGGGTACATCTTGCCCTTGGCTCTGCCTTGAGGTCTACTAGGCCTTCAGAACTGCTGTTTTCTCATCTGCAGGTCTTGGTCTCAATAAATAGCAGTTACTACCCGGGACACACATTCAGTGTCTCAGATAAGATATACTCTTCGCCCCAGATGGAAAAACTTTCTCCTTGTCATGCAGGGAACTCAAGTCAAGCAATGTGCCTTGGACATCTGGGCATTTCTCAGGCTGAGGTAGGATGTCTGGCCCAGAACATTCCATTTAATTCCACTCATGATTTTGGGGACAGAGGTGAGATCTGGTCTCAGTGGCCACTGTGGTAGGCCTCAACTGTGACTTTGACATTTCTGCTCATTCTGTTCTCTATACAGTGACCCAGGGACATATTTTAAAGGGCAGTTTCCACATCACTCCATGCTCAATAATAAACTCTAAACCTTCTGTATGTTTGTTCCTTGAGATTCAACGTTTGGTCTGGTTCATCTTCCAGTCTCCCCATCATCCCTTCCACCTCCATCCCAGGGGATGAGCTCTTGTTCACATTCCTCAGGTGATTGATCTCGATCCCCCCCCCCCCCCCCCCCCCCCCCCCCCCCCCCCCCCCCGGCAGCCCCTCTCCCTTCCTTCCCGGCCTCCATTACCTTTCCAGCCTCTGCATGGTCATGGCCAGCGTTTTATTCAGCTCGTCTATCATCCTGCAGCCGGAGGGGTGCATGGGGAGGGTGCCGGTGGAGGAGGGAAGGTGCTGGCCGTGGCTGCCATACTGCAGCTGGTGCTGGATCTGAGATGGCAGGACGGTGTGGTGGTGCTGGGCCACGCCCTGTTGGCTGCTCTTCTGGGCTGCGTAGGCTGCCAGGGAGAGCTCTGGGCCCCCGCCGGGCATACAGATCATGACTTTCTTTGGAGGTAGCGGAGGTGACAGTTTCATTGGCAGACAAGGCAATTTCACGGGGGCGCCAGGATCTGAGGGCAGGAGGTGGAGAGATGTGAGTTGAGGCATTAGAAGAAAGAGAGAACACCACAGCTCTTTCTACCTTGGGTTCATAGGTAAGGAGGTGGGCCCTCAGGATGCAATCAATCAGCTGAAGGCATCAGCATAGAGGATGCCCTCAGCTAGAGCTGATTTCCTGGAGCTCCGGGAATGCACTGGCCTCAGGCGCCCCAGGCAGGGTTGGTTAGTGGTATGGTCTCAGGCATGTCAGACTGAGACTCTGGAGCAGGCCTGAGAAGGAAGGCTGCAGGAAGGGACATAAGGAAGAAACTCACTGGTCTTCAAGGAAAACTTTTCCAGGACCTGCCAAGATTATCTACGTATTTGCCTTTATTAAAGTAATACATCCTTTTGGTTTCCAGTTCCCAACAGGCAGAGGGCAGAAGCCAGCACTTGGTTCAAGTCTGCTAAGGGCACATTTCTCTACAAATGACTTAACAGTGCCCACCTGAACTCCTTCATCTGCCTGACATCCAACCTTGGGAGGCTGAGTTGTGAAGATTTATGGTGGTACTGGGTAGGAGTGAAGTATGTGTGGTTGCAAGGCAAAAGCCTATTTAAAAATAACCAGCACAGGGGCTGGGAAGGTGGCTCAGTGGTAGAGCGCTTGCCTTGAATGCCAGAGGCCCTGGGTTCGATTCCTCAGCACCATATAAGCAAAAAGAAAAAAGCTGGAAGTGGCACTGTGGCTCAAGTGGTAGAGGCTAGCCTTGAGCTGAAGAGCTGAGGGACAGCGCCCAGGCCCAGAGTTCAGGCCCCACAACTGGAGGGCCCCCCCCCAACCAAAAAAATAACCAGCACAAAAAGAAGGAGAGGTAGAAGGAGAAGAAAAGGAAGGATCTCACAATAAACTTTGTTGTCCAGGATCTTCCCTATTTCAGCGTGCCACTAGTTGGGATTACAGGCATGAGCCATTGGTGCCTACCTTAAATCTTTTTTATTGGTGGGGGAAGGAGGAATTAGTCCTTGGGCTTGGGCCCTGTCCCTAAATTTTTTTTTGCTCAAGGCTAGTGCTCTACCACTTGAGCCACAGTCCACTTCTAGCCTTTTGGTGGTTAACTGGAGATAAGAGTTTCAGGGACTGATTTTCTTCTTGATCAGCTGGGAGGACATTTGTGACCATGTGGCAGAGAGTAGGAAATTGATAAGAGACTTTGGCTATCAAATCATTTTGCATTTAGTTAAACACAGGCTTTCAGCAAAGTTATTTTGTGGGGCTAGGCAAAACTTGAGTTACAATTTCAAATTGTGCTTTATTTATTTATTTATTTTTAATCTATTTATTTATTTGGATGCCAGTGCTGAGTGCTGTCCCTGAGCTTTTTTTTTTTTTTTAAAATTGTGAAAATACCCTATAGAAGGGTTACAATTACATGGGCAAGATAATGAGTACATTTGTTTTTTTTTTTGGTTCATTGTGGGGCTTGAACTCTGGGCTTGGGCGCTGTCCCTGCGCTCTTCAGCTCAAGGCAAGCTCTCTACCGCTTGAGCCACAGGGCCACTTCCAGTTTTTGTTGGTTTATTGGAGATAAGAGTCTCTTGGACTTTGATGCTGGGTCTGGCTTTGAATCTGATGCTCAGATCTCAGCCTCCTGAGTAGCTAGGATTACAGGCGTGAGCCACGACACCCAGCATGAGTACATTTCTTTTTTTCTTTTCTTTTTTTTTTTTCCAGGGCTGAGGACTGAACCCAGGGCCTTGCGCGCACTGGGCGGGTGCCCTTCCGCTGGGCTAAGCCCCCAGTCCCATGAGTACATTTCTTATCAAGCATTGTTGCCTCCTCCTTTGTTTCCTCTTCCCATCCCTTCCCATGCCGCGCACCCCCCCCCCCCTCGCCAAAGTTGTAAAGTTCGTTTTTCTTTTTTTGATTAAAATTTTTAATTGTAAAGCTGATGTACAGAGGGGTTACACTTACATAAGTCAGGAAAAGGGTATATTTCTTTTTGAACAGTGTCATACCTGCTCCCCTCATTTTCTCTAGATTTCTCCTTCCCAACCCCCTATTTTTATTTTATTTTTTGTGAGTCCTGGAACTTGAACTCAGGACCTGGACACAGTCCCTGAGCTTCTTTTGCTCAAGGCTATCATTCTGCTCCACTTCTGGCCTTTTCTGTTTATGTGGTACTAAGGAACCAAACTCAGGGGTTCATGCATGCAAGGCAAGCACTTTACCACTAAGCCACATTCCTAGCTCCCTTGATTTTTTAAACAGGTTCTCACTCTGTAGCTCAGGCTGGTCTCAAACTCTTATTTTCCTATCCTGGACTCCCAAGTGCTGGGATAATAGGCATGTGTTATAAAGGTAAAGTTCGTTTTTCAGCATAACAACTTGTACATCTCATTGTTGCCATGGGTCCACCTGTATCCCTGAGCTTTTATGCTCAAGGCTAGCACTCTACCACTTGAGCCACAGCTCCATCTCTAGCTTTTTGGTTGTTAATTGGAGATAAGATTTTTATGGACTTTGCTTTCCTGGCTGGCTTCAAACTGCAATCCTGAAATCTCAGCCTCTTGAGTAGCTAGGATTACAGGTGTGAGCCATTAGTGCCTGGCTCATAAATATAGTATTTGTAAAATAACTTTGTACATGAAACAAAGTCTGTACACATTGAATCATCGGATGTCCCAATGGCATGTTAGCACTCAGAAAGTTCTGAATTTTGAAGTGTCTTGGGTTTTGGGTATTCAAATTAGGAATATTCAATCTGCATCATGCTTTCTATATGCCAGACACTGGTTTAAGTGTTTTTTTTCTATGATAGTCATGTCTTCCAGCCAATTTAGTCCTATACCACACTTCTTGTTTGTGTAACTATCTCCTTGCCTAAATAACAATGGACTTGAACCAATATATCATGGTACTCAGTGCCTAGTTCACATGAGAGAAGGTACAAGCCATATAACACAGACTGAGCTGAAATGCTGATGATCTATTGCTAGAAGAATCCACAGGTTTCCTAGAAAGAGATCCTCCAAAAGGCATAAGGCAGATGAGCCATTTTAAGATCATATAGCTCTGAGTGGCTGGAAACAAAACTCCTAGTTCACAATAGGACACAGCAAAAGCTAGTAATTCCAAGGTCTCTGGTGAGCTTGGTCCCAAATGCAAAGCTCCTATGCTCAACCTCCAATTCCCATCCTGTTCACTGTGATCGCCTGGACACAAGGCCGCCCCAGGCAGGACAAAAACAGGAAGTATTAGCTCATTCTAAGTGCTGAGTGAAATGCAGAAACTCCATATTTGCGTCAGCTCTTGGTACTGACTTGTCTTCCTCTGGCTCCTGGAAGCTTTAGTGCACACCTACCAATCATGATACATCTCATTGTGTTTATGGTTTGGCTCCAGCAACTCTTTCCTATGATCCTTCATTTGTGGGTTCTGGGTCCATCTAAGGCAGCAAGATTCTTATTCCTTTCACCAGGAAAAGGTAAGAGCTAGGAAGGTAAAGTAGGAATGCTCTACCTAGGAGTGACAATGCTGGAAAGTTCTGCTCATCTTAAATGACAATCTCCCATACTGTAGGATTACCTGTCATTACTTCCATAGCAAAAGGAGCCACGTGGACCCCAGAAATTCTAACAAAACATGGGAAGAAGAAACTGCTAAATGAACTAATAGATATAGTCATTCTAATTGTTCTAGAAAAGATAGGTGCTGGGCACAGGGAAGTCCCATCCCTTTTACCTTTCCTGCTTGCATCTCCTTTCTGATTGTTCTGATATATGTGGTTATCATTTAAGTATGGGCAGAAGATGAAAGTAAACCATTTTAAATCTGGTTTCTTTTTGGGGGCTCAGTGGACTTGGCAAGGAAATTAAGAAACAGGTTACAATGGTGGAATTATCTATTTTCTGTCAATTTCCTATGCAGTCCCTATCCCTGCCCCCCCATCCCCAGTCTAACGAAATGCTGGTGAAAGCCTGGGCAGCTCAGATCTTTACTTTTATATTTTTATGACATCTCAGTATCAGCGCCATTTCCTATAACAGGTCTGGAGGCATGATTTGGAATCAGCAACATACCATTCTGAATTTCTGTTTCCTTATCTTTCTACCCATCTCAAACTTGTGTGTTCCTAACCCCCTTGCCAGTGTCCTCAATCTGGGATCTCATCATTGATGTGGATACAGGTCCCAGCCTGCCAATCCATCTTCACACAGACATCTCCTGAAACCATCATCTGTCCATGCTTTTGGTGTCACATGGCTCTTGTCCATGCTAACACATCCAAGTGCAAACTGTCAGTGTCAAATCTATTGTACTATTCTTACTCTTACTTCAGGGGTCCAGCATGTTTCCACGTTGGGTTTCTTAGTAAACAACTCATTTCTCTAGCAGGGCCTTTGTTTCCTCATCTCCCCATTCCTGCCTGAAGATCAAAATTGCCTTCACCCTTCACTGCTCAACTGAGGACCCACTGCCCCACCCAGCCTGCTTTTCCCTTGGGCCCTGTGACTCTGACAAGTCAGCCCCACTGAATTCTGCTCTATTTTTATGTTGTCAGCGCTCAACCACTTCCTGTTAGTTCTCTCCCCACCCCCATGCCACCTCCTAGAGTTCAGCAACACTTTCATATTTCCTGCAGGGTGCCCCATTGTGGGGCAACAGCACAGGCAAGGCTCAGGGAGAGTGAGCGCCTAGCCTCATGTTCTCAAGCCTCGTGTGTGTGTGTGTGTGTGTGTGTGTGTGTGTGTGTGTGTGTGTGTGTGTGTGTGTGTGTGTGTGTGTGTGTGTGTGAAGGTAGGTAAGTGTGAGAATTATACTGACACTGTCTCCAACCCCCATGATTCTATGCTAGGGTCCAGCACTGCAATTGTTAAAAACTAGGGGTAGAGTTGCAAACTACTTCTGTCTTTCTCTAGGCACAAAGTCACTGTTTCTTAGAGCAGAGTCCTGGGACCACCTGTAACAGTCACCTGGCACTGTAAGGTTATATCCCTGGGACTCTGACATACAAGTCAGGATCTCTGG